TGATTATTGGGCTCCCAGGAATGTCTAATATTGTCCTTCTTACCACTTTTCCTCTACTTTGTGGAACGGTGTGGAGAAAAACCTGCAACTCCCGCCTTCTTGTCCCTAGCAAATAAAGCTCTCTGACTCAGTGACAAGTTCTAAGGCCAGAGTGGTCTTCTACAAAAAGACCTGAGCATCAGGGGTCTGGCTTCAAGTTCAAACTCAGGCACTTACTAATTGTGTGTTCTTAACCAAACCGTTTAACTTCTCTAACAGTGCGTGAAGTAGAGATGTTAGTGGGGCCTCTTCTTTATGCTTTGTACAATTACTGAGTCCTTCACAGATTGACTGAGAGCAATTGTGAAACAGTAAAGAATTTGACCACTTTGTATCACTATGGCAGACCTACTGATATTATAAAGATATTCATAACAGGGCCCATCACAAGGGCCAGCCAGATAGCTCAGCGGACTAAAGCACCTGCTTAGGTACAGCACAGCAGCCAGGGTTCAATCCCTGGTGCACAGTGCCGGCCCCACTCCCAGTGGCACACTGCGACGGCAGTTGAGACTGGGCGTGGTTGTGCGCACCTGTAATCCCAGCTCTTGGGAGGCTGAAAACAACAGGATCACTGTGAGTCTGATCTGTGTAGTGAGACCCTGTAGACTCTGTACTAAATACATTTAAAAAACCAATAAAAATAGGACCCATCACAAAATAATGAAATAAGTAATATTTTATGAGAACAGGCTAATTTTGATAAACAAGCCTTATATGGAGGCCAAACAAATGATATTCTTTCTCCATTAAAAAAAAACCTAATTACTTTTTTAAAAAATCCTATCACTCTTCCTTTTCATTGTAGTAGCATTTAGAACTCCTCCAAATTTAACGTTTTAGAAGCAGATTTGTTTCAAAAGCCCTCTGCTCCTTTGCCCTTGAGAAGAGCACATTCTAGAATCTGCCTCTTTCTGACAGTGGAGAAGTCTAGACAGACAAGGAGTGAATGCATGTGGTGGTTAGCAAAACAGTTCAGGACAACACTGCACCACTCAGAACTCTAGAGGCAGACTGCAAGAGCTCAGGCCCAAACCAGTCTAGCAATTATAGGTATGTAACCAGCGTCTCTGATCCTTGGTTTCCTCATCTACGAGAGGTTTGCAGATTGTGTTCTTTTATCTTTATATCCTCATAACCTGCCATAGTCCCTATTCCAAGAACATACTGGTAAGGCTGCTGTCTAAAACAAAAGCCCTGTTGTATAGGGCTTGCTGATTTCTGCAGTGTAAACACCAACAGCGTCTGGTGTCAAGCTGCTGGTGGTCTAGCACCCAACCTGCCAAATTCCTGAGTAGCTCGCAGTCATCTCCCTCTTCCATGCCCCGCTGGGAGCAGCCGCCGACACACGAACACCATTACTCCCGCACTTGGTCAGTGTGGACATGTTAATCGCTCAAACCACCCGCTCTATCAGGCTGTATTGGATGTCACACAAGTGATACTGAAAGTGACAAAATGCAGAAGGAAAATATACATGAGTAAAATAGCACATTAGAGGGAGTGTCTTATTTTAAATTCTGATTCATCAAAGCAGAGACATCAAATTGTTTCTCGGCCCTGAGATACGAAGTTAGCTGTATATCCCATGGTAGAATTCAGTTTGCGTGACAGTAACTCAGAGGACAGGACCCTATTTTCAGATAGCCCATATTTGTCCCTCCCCAGACTCCAGCTGCCTCTGGTTGAATTTTATTTGAGAAATTGCCAGCGACCTGGCAGATCAAAGCTGAGGAGTTTATTCACCTTGTCTTAGCTCCTTCCTAACTTCCTTCCTGCCTCAGCATGGATGTACATTCCACATTCTTATGCCATGGCTGCTCCACCTTCCCCTTAGTCTAAAAAAAATAAATAAATAAATAAAAAGAATCTAATTCTCCCTAACACATTACTGCATCTTTAAGCGACACATCATTCTGATCACGAATGGCCAGATGTCATGTAAGGAGACACTGCCCCAAACCCAGCTGCTTTCACCCATTCTAAGTTCCATTACAGTGACCAACTTCCCAAATTTGGGGTGAAAGCCTCAATCAGCATAATTTGCAGCAACCATACTTCCTCTTGCTGCCTCCTGCCTTCAGCATTCTGGCTGGCATTTTGGACCATTTGTATCAAGACTGTGAATTCAGTAAAATATCCGTGAGAGCACTGTACATGCTGTTTCAATATATAGATTTTTACCATCTTACATGTATAACAATCAATATATAAAGTCCAAGTATCAGTCACTAACCACTCATCCCAAGAGCTCTGTAAGAGTGAGAAAGGTTCTTTATAGTATTTACAAAGATTTTTAGGAAGAAGGAAGCCCTCACTGGTGGTCACTTGCTATCACAACCCCACAATCATAGAAGTAAAAGGATTTTAAATAAGTTGTAAGTCTTAAAAAGAGAGAATTGGAAAAGATGCAGCACCGATAAAAGTTTGGAAATGGAAGACAGAAGCAGGGGAGAGGAGGGGAGAGAAGAAGAGGGAGAAAGAAAAGAGGCTGCAGGAGAGCTGAATTCACACTGGCAGAAGACAAACCAAGCCAGGAGCAGAAACCTCAAGACTCAGGGATTGGAAGCATCCCTCTCTTCTAAAGAGAGGGAAATAGAAGGTTTTTGTGTTAGTTTGTTTCCTTTTCTGGAGGTCTAAGAGAACAGTGTCAGTGCTGGCTCTGATCTGGTGAATATCTCAGGGCAGAGACACATTAGGAACATGAGACAGAAAGACTGGGAGGGAGAGGCGGAGAGATAGGGACGGAGGGAGATCGAGGAGAAACAGAGGCAGACAGACCAACAGAGAGAGAGAGAGAGAGAGAGAGAGAGAGAGAGAGAGAGAGAGAGAAGAGAGGAGGGAGACCACATGACTAGAGAAAAATCCGAGTGCAGCTGGAGTCCCACGGGAGCATTCATCCCATGTCTTCATGGCCCAACATCACACTATGCCTCACATCATAAAAGTTCAACACCCTCTTCACATCTCCATAATGGGGACCAAGTTTCCGACAACTTTAGGCACTCCCTTAAATCCATACGAGGCTTCACATAAGCATTGGCAGAAAGCCTGTTCAGGAGGCAGGCAGAATGGATCTGGATTTTCTGCTTCCCTTTGTGCAGCCAGTTAATGGCTCCACCTTCTCCTCCTCTTCTTCCTCCCCTTCCTCTTCCACTTCCTCCTACTCCTCTTCCTCTACCTCCTCTTCTTCTTCCTCCTCCTCCTCCCCGACAGAGCCTGCAGGTGCTATTGCAATGCAGGATCTCAGGGCTGGTGAGCACCTGGCACTGTGTGTGCACACAGGGGCTAAAGAAAATACGGTTGCCCGCTGCAGGCTGGTTCACAACCTCCCTCTTCCCCCACTACCCAAGGCCTCCGTGGTGAGGCTCCACACCTTCTCCTGTGCTAGGCAGATGATGAGTGATTTCTAGAGAAACTGACCAACCTCAAGGTACTTGTTTCTCCCTTAATAAGGCCTACACATATGTTCAGAATTTCCCATCAGGTTCCAATGTTTTATTGTCTCTTCATTATGAGCTTGTGAATGAGGATTTGCTAACCAATGAGGAAATCCTCTAACTTGAAAGTTACATAATATAGCAGGATTCACCAGTAAAACAGAATTAACAAAAGATTATCAGATACAGGTTTCAGGACAGACTTCTCCAAGGGGCTAGAAATACAGATCACTATGGTAACTCAACCAGAGAGAGCTAGCCGATGGAAAGTTTGGAGTTCAATTAGCAGTATTTGGAAGTGAGCAGTTCAAAACAATAATGCTTAACTCCAGGGAAAACAAGAAATGGTGCATAAATATAAATCATACTTCACTATATATCTTAGCAGTAAATACTATTTCATGTTAATTACAATAAAGCAAACATGAATTCCTTTTAATGTATTTTTTATTAGATCATGTTTCCAGTACTAATGATTACATTCATCTTGGACATTTGATACATGTACATAATACATTTTAATATCACCAGCCCTGATTACTAATTTAACCAAAATTTCAATAGTATGATCTACAGGGAGGTAGGGGCATCAAAAAAGTACCAATTTGTGGTGAAGCTGAAGGTTTGAAATAAAATATATGTAGTAGAAAGCCAACAGAAAATGCCTACGTCTGAAATAAGCATGCACAAAATGACATAAGCACAAAAGAGCAAAATTTCACAGTAGGAAATGCTGACATACTAAAAGGACGCCAAGGTATAAGAAAGTGAAAAATGATGTATTTTTCAAAATTAAACTTTATTTGTTCACCATATTCAGGTATAACTCGAACAAGGACAAACAAAAACAATGAATCTTAGGGGTTTTTATGAACATGGAATAAGAAAAGAATACTGCTTCCTCTTAGAATCTTACATCATCTGATATTTAATGTTCTCTGTAGTGAGAATGTTAGTACCTATTTCTGCATGATAGGCTTCGGAATAATGAAAGTAAAAATGATACAAAACTCAGGATTTGAATAGGGGAGCTACGCGAAGGCTGGAATTCCCCAATTATCAAGTGGGGACATCAGTCTAAATTTCACCTGAGTTTTGGGGTTTCCATTCTTAGCTAAGGAGAAAGGACACAGGGATAGGAGGGCACAGGAGAAGGGAGCGTGGTACCCATGAGACACTATTCCCACTGCTATTTACAGTGGCCACATGGTACAGAAAGGGTCTTTCCCCTATCTTGGTGTCTGCTCTTGGAGTCTATCCCTTGCATGTCTTTACAAACTCGGTAGCATTCATTATGTGGTTAATTAGGTGGATTTTGTCAACTGGTCAGGAACTCAAATTGTAACTTGGCATTTTTGTGGCAACCTATATTCCAATTACTAATATGCTCATCATCTTTGGAATTTGGACTCTGCATAAGATATGGTTCAGCAGAAAACCAACAGGACAGGTTACGGCTGCATCCAAACATGCCGCGCCACCAGTGGCATCCACAGCTCACGAGGCCCTCTGTCTCCCCAGGCTATCAGTGTACCTGTCTCTCACAGTTCACCGGGAGAAACTGTGAATCCGAGATCACAGCCTGCTTCCCAAACCCCTGCCGGAATGGAGGAACTTGTGACCCGATAGGAAACACTTTCATCTGCAGCTGTAAAGCCGGGCTCACGGGAGTCACGTAAGTCGAACTGCGTTATGGCCTCTCTCTGCACTGCTGTCGGTTGCTAAGCTAATAAAGTGATAGGCAATTCATAGGGACTAAATGTTTACCACGGATGCAACCAACACAGCACTATATAAAGAATTCTTACAAGGGACTAAAATGTTAATCAGGATTAAATCTGGTACCATGGTTATAGATAATTTGCACTTTTATTCTGTTTCAAACAAAGTCCTCAATGCCACCTAATATTACTAGTATAATTCTAAGGCAAATATACAACCCAGGCTTCATTAACTGGACTCTACTGCCTACTGTTTCATAATCGTTCTGAGAAACTAAACCTTACCTTACCTTTGCAAGCCTTTTTTTCTTCCAAGAAATGAGTGAAATTAAAGTGTTAGCCAAATGGAAAAAGGATGTTTTAAATTGTTAGTAAAATGTCACTTTCAACCATCCTTGATCATTTTAGAAGTAGAGATAGATAGATCTGTAATCTCAAGCAAGTGATACTCCAATTACAGATCAGTCTCATGTATTCATTAGAGCAAATCTCCTGAGGACTTTACCAGGAAATACTTAGCCGACTTTGAATTGCTGGATGTAATTTAAAGTAATAAAGCTGCATTTATTTTTAAATACTTTGTGATTCTAACTAATTTCCGGCTGACCTGGCCTCAATCTGTTCAAATTAGGGCCGTTTGACTACATTTTAAAAGGGGTATTACCAAAAAGGTAGGTGACTGGGCTTTTTAAATGAACATATCAGAACAACTGCTAAAGTAAAGAAAAGTAAAGAAGGAAAAAGAGTGCTTTCGGGGAGTGTTAGAGTCAGAAAGAATAAAGACTTGCCTATCTTCTAATTAGTATACACAAAAGGAGTCAGGGATTCCTTTAAAGGGAATAAAATTAATCATTTTTATTAGAATGTTTTAGTCATTCTTGCCCTTCTAATCAGCATTAGCACTAAACATTAACATAAGCACAGAATCCAATGCTCAGAAGCATAGAAGCTACGTAGCTCTCCACCCCCTGCCTAGCTTTGGAGCTCCCAGCTTCCCAGAGGGGCCAAGGTCATTGTGACAACTAAAGGAAAATATTAGAACCCAAATCCTCTTTCTCTCAAATACATAAATAAATAAATAAATAAATAAATACAAACCTCGAAAATGGGCACGCAGCTCTATCCGCAATCTCACAAGCTCTGGCTTGGTATGTATTCCTGGCAAACTAATTTAGCGGCAAAACCTGCCCAGAACTGCTCTGAGGCTCCTTCCTCCAGACGTTTCCATGCAGAAACAATGGTGCGTCTGATGCTGGGGCCGGGCTAGCACCAGTTCCACTGCAGGTCAGGAGTAGTTTACTAAATAACGTGAAAGATACGCGCTACGTGTTCTTTTTGCAATTGCACAATTTTAAATTCGGACGCACACCTGGCTCCTGAGATTTGGAAACGTGTTACTTTTTGTATCGCCGCTCTTCTTTCTTTCCTCTCCACACTTTCTTCTCCCCACCCAATAGGGGGTAAAGACCTAGAAAAGGCTGCGTGTTGCCTCGAGCGCCGCAGAAACACCTGAGTCTGCACGCACGCACGCACGCACGCACGCATAAGACACGCAACACTGCCCGCATGCGCACGCACACTCATCGCGCGTCACCGCCTCCCCTGATGCATCCTCCTCCCTCCCTTGAAGGTCCCTTCCCTGCACCCTGCCCTCCTGGTGGTGCCCGCCGGCCCTGACCTGGGGAGGGCATCTCTCTTCTCTCCCTGAAGGTGTGAGGAGGACGTCAACGAGTGCGAGCGGGAGGAGTGCGAGAACGGGGGTGCGTGCGTGAACGTGTTTGGCTCCTTCCTGTGCAACTGCACGCCCGGCTACGTGGGCCAGCTCTGCGGGCTGCGGCCGGTGGTGGTGCCCAACATCCAGGCGGGCCACGCCTACGTGGGCAAGGAGGAGCTGGTGGGCATCGCTGCAGTGCTCTGCATCATCCTCATCCTGGTGGTGCTCTTCGTGGTCTTCCGCAAGAAGGTCTTCCGCAAGCACTACTCCCGCAACGACGTCACGCTGGTGCAGGACCCCGCCACGGCCGCGCTGCTGCACAAGAGCAATGGCATCCCCTTCCGCAGCCTGCGTGGGGGCACAGTCCGCAACGTCTACCAGGAGGTGGGGCCCCCGCAGGTGCCCGTGCGCCCCATGGCCTACACGCCCTGCTTCCAGAGTGACTCCAGGAGCAACCTGGACAAGCTCGTGGACGGACTGGGTGGCGAGCACCAGGAGATGAGCACATTCCACCCTGAGTCCCCACGCATCCTGACCGCCCGGCGGGGCGTGGTGGTGTGCAGCGTGGCCCCCAACCTCCCAGCCGTGTCGCCCTGCCGCTCGGACTGTGACTCCATCCGGAAGAACGGCTGGGATGCGGGAACTGAGAGTGAGTAGGAGCAGCGGATCGGGGACCACGGCTGTGGGAGGAAATCTGGCGGAGAGAGAGGAGCACGAGGCACTGGGTTTTGCACTGGCATGTGCCACATGGAGTCTTCATAACCACCCTAAGAAACTAGCATGGTTCTGACTCCATCCACAGACTAGGAAGTGAGGCTTAGAGAGAGTAACCTGTCTCAACAGGGCCCCGCGGCTCCAGCAGGAGCAGCATAGCCGTGTAGGTGATGGGCATGAACTCTGGAAAGGATGAAGGGAGTGTTTCTAGTCTTGATGTGAACACGTGAAGGAAACCCAGGGAACTTGAGTTAGACGAGGCAGGTAAAAGGGTCTACAGACAGGCGGGCCCCCAGCTGAGAGGGACCCTCATGACCAGAACAAAAGAAAGTTGGTGGTTGGCTGTGATGCAGAATCCATGAGACCAGGTGGCCCACAAGGCAGGAAAAGTGATTCAGGCCAGGTAGTTCCCCTCTCTGTCTGACCTCTTGGGACAGGACTCAAGGCTCAGGGACAGGCCCTAGGTGCAAAGGCCCAGGGGGGAAGGGATACGGTGTGAAAAGCACAGAGGAGGTGAGGGTAGCCAGAGCCTGGGGAGCACCAGGGCACGGGCTGTGCATTTCAGCAGCAGTAGCAGTGCAGGCTTCAGAGCAGGTAAGTGGCTGCCCCGAAGAACAGGCTGCATAGTTTGCAAAGGGAAGAAAGCAGTCACGTGGCCTCTGTGAGCTTCTGGGTAAGGAATGGAGATGGTTTTCTCTGCCCTCGCGTCAGCGCGAGTGAGGCTGAGCCAGGGCCCACTCTAACCTGTGACTTTTCAAGCTTCAAAGGCTGTGGTGGCAGTACTGTGATGCATGATGGGACAGGAAGGCAAGGGGAGTTTGGAGTGGACCTAAAGAGCATGTTCATGCCAGGGGAAAAAAGTGACTTCATGGATAAAGGGAGTACTCCAGTGGTATTTCTAAGTGCAAGTAAGATTTCAGTGGGAAATTATTCACTAGGGCCCTTTGCAAGCAGGAAGTAGCTACAGCAGTGTACGGGATGGATGTGGGGTTATCAAAGGTGTTCAGAGAGTGCAGCGGGGCCTAGCGGTAAAAGTGTGGCCATTGTCTGCACTCAGCGTGGTCAGCTGTGCAGGAGTAGACTCCTCACTAAAAAGCAGGAGTAAACAAAGGGGAGTGAAACCAGCTTCCAAAGATTCCCATGTGTGGGCGAGAGGCAAAAAGGGAGGAACCGAGAAGGGAGTCAGCCATACTTACCAATGACCAAAAAGGAGAGACTTGCTGTGGTAAAGACAATAGCGAGTATCGCTAAGGTCAGCAGTGTAGTGCACTGTAAAAGGCACCAGAGATTCTACGTGATTTGCTGAGCTCAATATCGAAAAGGTTCTTAGAATCTCAAGAGCTCCTTAGTGGAGCCCTGGAGGTAGAAGCCGCAGATGCCAGGGTTAAGGACAAAGAGATTTGTTGAGAATGCAAGGGTAAATCCATGTTGTGCTGCACTGCATACTCGTGCAGTGTCACAGCTGGGTGATGGTGTACCATATGGGAGAGGCTAATCAGGCCAGCAGTTCATGGAGGAGAAAACAGGCTTGAATAGGTAAAATAGCTTGCTGAACGCTCATAATTAGCCAAGGGAAGAGTATGTGTCACAGCTTGTGCTTTTTTTTTTTTTTTTTTTTTTTTTTTTTTTGTGGTGGCCAGCTCAACCCACCCTGGTGGGGATGGCGGGGCATGTGGTGCTGGGGATTGAAAGCGGTCCAGTCCCTGTACTTGCCCAAGCTTGCCTAAGCAGGTGCTTTAGTCCGCTGAGCTATCTCATCAGCCTGTGCTCTTACAAGCACTCTGCTTGGAAACTTGGGCAGGAAAAAGGGAGAAGGAAATAAGGATGTTTTGCTGAGTGAGGAGGGCCAAGGATGAGGTCTTTTTGTTCCATTGCTGCCCGACATGCCATCTGCTGATTCTTTCTGTAGACACATTCATATTCTAAGTAGTTGCCCTTGGATTTAAACCACAAATACATATCTACTCTTAAATTGTCTGTAAAGTTGGGCTTTACTACACTGTTGCCAACCCACAAGCTAATTAGGTGGTTCTTCTTTTTTTTAGCAGTGGCATAAAAGAGTTTGGAAAAAGTGGAGGAGGAGTGGGGATTTTCATGCATGGCGCTGTGTCCACCAGGCTGAACTGTTTGCCTTTTCTTCCTGGTATTCAGGGCTAAGCTTATGTGCACCTTGCGCTTGCTGAGGCTCATCATCTGATTTTGTGGTGGGACTGATGGAAGGTGAATTTCCCCCCGGGTGCCTCTCCCCACTTACGTCATTTGTTTGTCCAACTCATCATTTTCTCGTGCGTTCAGTACCTGACGGCAGATGCAGAGACAGCTCCTCCTAATTCTGCCCTTTCTGGGGGGAAACAGTGAGTTTTGTGGCCATGAGCAAGAACTGTTACCCTACTCACAACCCTGTGCCTGTTTGTACCCTTGAGTATGTGATGATTTACAGCTTTTCGTAGTGGTCATTTTCTGCCAGCACTTCCTGATGTGACAGCTTTATTTCTGGGACCTACCTCAGGCCAAAGCTCTCACACTTGCCCCCAAAGCATTGTTGGGTTTTATTGAATACATTTCCCCCTTTAAGCAAGGCAGAGGTAGCCGGCAAAACAATCTGTACGCAGCTAATTCATTTTGCACTTGACAACCCCAAGATGCTGAGTTGCTTAGTGCTTCTTTAGTTCATCAGATACAAAGAAGTAGCCCCGGTCACATGAGGTGCTGTGTGTGTGGAGGAGGGTGCTATTCAGGAGCTCTTTGTAATGAGGGAAGAAGTCCGAGGCTGAGGGCATATTCGCTCCACTAACTGACCTCCTGCTAGACACTGGACGCACAACATCATTCCCAAAAATGATGCCACACTGCCCTCTAGAAGGCAGAGCTGCAGACTCCACTCGCTCCCCACAGATGGAGACTGGAATAAGTGTGACGGCATTCGTGCTCACCTATAAAATATTTATACCCCTATTTTAAAAGTAATCTCGTTTAACCTGGTGTTGACACCACATCAGTTCATGTAAATGATGTGAATTAAGTCAAAATGGCAAAGCGCAGTGCAGCCACTTCATTCTCACTCCTCTCATCGCCACTCCCTTTGAGAAGGGAGCAGCTCCTTTCAGCTGTCAGCTAGCTGGAAGCTCATTTACTACAGGTTAAGGGTTTCAAATCCATAATGTAAATCATTTGATTGACAGACCTTTGCCCCCGATGGCACAATCAATTTTCTACTGTGGAGCTGTTATTTTCTCTAAGCAAATGAAAGAGCCCTGAAGTAGGTTGGAGAAGGGAGAAACAGGACTTAAAATATGCATAAGGTAACCAGTATCATTTCTGCTTTCTCTTGGGCTGTCCACGAAGACAAAGGAGCTGATGACCCCGGAGAAGTGACCTGTTTTTCAGGCAGTAACAAAGGCAGCACCTCTGAAGTACAGTCCCTCAGCTCCTTCCAGTCGGATTCTGGAGACGACAATGGTAAGGAGACGCATGTATTCTGTGTGGGAGGGTCCTGGTCACTGCACTGAGAGCAGCGGTTAGTGGGAAAGCAATGGACAGAGGCCTTGCTTTTGTGTCTGTTCATGAGCTTTGGAGCATTTTCACCAGGTTTCTAATTGACTCTAATGTCCTTGCCAGAGGTGCCCCATACATGGCAGCTCTAAGCAGACCCCACCTAGGCACTGATGAAGTTCCCTGGGCCTCCAGTAGTGAATCCTCTTTGGTTTGGTATTTGATGGAACAACCTCATCCCAAGTTCTGCTTGAGTTGATCTGGGCTATCAGGGGCATCCTTTGAGCGAGAAGCCATCAGATCTGTAAAGGTCATCTTCTATCACTGGCATTAGGTTCCAATGAGCAGATGTAGTTCTTTTTTATTTTACTGATGGTCTCTTCCTTCTTCACTATGCATCCAACCTCCCCACTGTCAGAAATTACTTAGAAAAATGCTACTTTCCCATACAGTCAGTGGCATCTTGGTTCACTGAATTGTTCTCAGAATCATTTGGGGTCATAAGCTTTTGTAGACTTGATTAAAAATTGCTAGGTGTGTGGTACATGCCTGTAATGGAAGAGCTGGAGAAGCTGAGACAAGAGGGTTGCCACAGGCTGGAGGCCAGCCTGGGCTACTTAGCTAGACCCTGTCTCCGTGAATGAATGAATGAATGAATGAATGAATGAATGAATGAATGAATGAACGAACGACTCTAATTTATGAAGCAGTGCCTGGGCTACTTAGCCAGACCCTGTCTCCGTGAATAATGAATGAATGAATGAATGAATGAATGAATGAATGAACGAATGAACGAATGAACGAATGAACGAATGACTAGAATTTATGAAGCAGTGCCTTAGGAAAATGTACATGCTCCCTGAATGTCGCCTGCAAGCCCTTATGACTCACAGAGTGCTTTGCTTGATGACCCCAAAGCTGCTCTCTCTGCTGTTCATACACCTATAGGGGAGAGTATGAAATGCTGCTCCACGTTTTCTGAGCAGAGGAACCAGCCCTGCAGGTTAGGTTGTTCTCTGCAGAGCAGGAGTGGAAAGCAGAAGCCATCATAGAATAGAACTGTTTGTCATATGGTGGTAAAACAAAAATAATTTCTAATCCTTATCATAGGGACAGGCTGCCTTACCATGACATATACCTTAGGCCATTTTCCCCAATTATCAACAGTTAGCAAATTCAGGTATTTATTAGTTCATCTAACCACCCAGCCTAGGAACCCTTGCAGTTTCCCCTGTGTGCTAAGTCATCAGTATTTTGTGTACAGCAGTGAAAAATAAAAATGGCACCGTCTGCCTCCAAGAGAAATACAGGGACAGGTGAACTTCAGGACCATAAAGGTAATCATGGACTTAAAATAGTCTATTTCACCCCCATCTCCTCCGGTGTCTTCCACCCAGAGGTACAGAAGCTTCTCTGCCGGAATAATGTGCCATGTAACGGTGGATTGCTGACCAATCACAGAAGGTCAAGGCCCAAGGTCTTTGACTCAGATGTTTGCCTCATGCCTCCTCCTTTCTCATTCTCAGCCAGTAGAAAAGCTATAGCTGGTTTGTACGGTAAATAACATGTCAAGAACATACAGTTTCCAACCCCCCAGGCAGCAGCCCAAGCCATGGTGCTGGAGGACTGTTCTCACAGGCTGTCGTAGGCATGCGCTTGGCCTTTCATGATTCACATCACTGGTGTTAACTCAGGCAGGTGGTGGGAGGAACTTGTGTCAAATTCATTGTAAACCTGCCATCTCCCCACAACTGGAAGGCATCAGCCACTAAGTATTTCCGAGGCCAGCTGCTGACTTCTGTCCACAGACCAGCAGAAGCTGGGTCTTAAGTTGATCTGGGCTATCAGAGGCATCCTTTGAGTGAGAAGTCATCAGATCTGTAAAGGTCATCTTCTATCACTGGCATTAGGTTCTGAGCTGCATGGCTGGTCACCACATAATTATCCGGGGGAACAGCGGGCTCTTCCTCAGAGAGCCTTTGGGCATTGCTAATGAGAAATTAGCATGAACTTGATGAACCACTGCCTTCCTAGATTGATTTCACTGGGCTGTGAGGTGTGAATTTATGACCCAGAAATCTGCCAATCATGTGTCTGAAAGGGATAGCACCTGGACTTGGTGCCTGCCTTTTCCATTCCAACAGTCTCAGAACCTTCCAGACCAAAGTATCTGTCAACTCAGATCCGGAAAGACAGAGTATGGGAAGGCTTTCTGTGTCTATGTGCTTCATGTTTTTTGTTAAAAGAAGTTAACATGTGTTTAAAGTACATGACTAACCTGAAACTGTCCTTCCCTTCCCACCTTCTTTCCTGCCACAAGCATCCATAGTGACTGTCATTCAGCTTGTCAGCAATGTAGTTGACAACATAGAGAATGAAGGTACTTACTTTTTTCTTCCGTAGTATTTCTTTGCATGAAGAGTTGTAGCACACTCTTGCTTCCTTGTTCGTTGCGCCAGAGATGATTTTCATCCATAAAGAGGGCAATACTTTCGAATAAGATGCTGGATATTTCTGTATGGATTTGAATAAAATTAACAATTTTGAAGAAAAATCTGGCTTATGTTTTAAAAAATGTATGGAGTGCTCTTCTTATAAAATCCCTTCCAAGAGAAGAGTGTCCTATTAGTTGGAATCCAGATTAATGTTAAACTCATTCCTGCATTCAGCATGTATTCATTGAGCACTACTATGAATTCATTGAGCACCTACTATAAATTCATTGAGCACCTACTGTGAGCTGGGGTCCTTATAAAAGCAACAGAAGCTATGGCAGCATTCGGATTAATTTCAGTCATTTAACTTTCCTTAATGATTTCATAAAATTAAGGCATAATATAGATAGGATTTGTCTTTTTATTTTGTAAATGACCATGGTCAAATCTTTTTTAAAGGTTAACCTTAGTCCTAGTTCGTAGTTCTTAGAAGCATTTTTTTAAGTCTTTAAAGTGCTCTGCTTTATCTCTCCTCGGAGGATGTGGATTGTCAGATTTACTTTCTACTTTGTATTTAAACAGTATCTGTCATGGACCAAGGACAAAACTACAACCGAGGTGACTGTCACAACCCCAGCGTATTTCATTTTGCCTTTTGCTTTGCCGAGTTCCCTATGACCCGTGCCCTCCTTCATCCCCCGAGTCTCTTTGCTGTGAATCTTGCATGTTCCAGGCGTCTTGTGTGCTGTGTTGAAGGCGAGAGCGCTCCCAGCCTCCCCTGCCCTGAGTGCGACGCTCCCACCGCCGCACACCCCCTCACCTCGCTGTCTGGGGTCCACGGCGCCGTGGTCGCAGCTCTCTCTGCCAGCATGCTGCCAGCTTGGCTCCCTGGGTAGCATGTGCCTCAGACGCGGTGGGGACAGGGCTTCTCGGATCGTGTGTCTTCAGCACATCCTCCCAGGCCTTCACATGGCTATGTGCGGGCTCTGCGGCAAGCAGGCGCCATCTCTCAGAGTGGCCACTGCTTGTTCTCAGACCAGAGCGTGTCTGGCCCTGAGACAGCCTTGAAAGTAGCACGTGGTGCTTCGTGATGACCCCTGGCTTCTGGGGGTCCCCTGGAAGTTGAGGGTTGCATGCCAGGTCCTTCTCTGCTCCTTTCCAGCTGTGCCCTAATCCCAGTCTAACAGCATTGCCTTCTGCGGCATCTTTCTCGCAGCCTATCACTGGGACACCTCAGACTGGATGCCAGGGGCGCGCCTGTCGGACATAGAGGAAGTGCCCAACTACGAAAACCAGGATGGAGGATCTGCACACCAGGGCAGCACCCGAGAGCTGGAGAGCGATTACTACCTGGGGGGCTATGACATTGACAGCGAGTACCCACCTCCTCACGAGGAAGAGTTCTTGAGTCAGGACCAGCTGCCCCCTCCCCTGCCTGAAGACTTCCCAGACCAATATGAGGCCCTGCCCCCCTCCCAGCCTGTCTCCCTGGCCAGCACACTGAGCCCAGACTGCAGGAGAAGGCCCCAGTTCCACCCTAGCCAGTACCTCCCTCCGCACCCATTCCCCAACGAAACAGATTTGGTGGCCCCGCCTGCCAGCTGTGAATTTAGTACTTTTGCTGTGAGCATGAGCCAAGGCACAGAGGCTATAGGCCCAGCGGACAGCGTGTCTCTATCCTTGCACAATTCCAGAGGCGCCTCATCCTCAGATGTGTCGGCCACCTGCGGCTTCGATGATTCCGAAGTGGCCATGAGTGACTATGAGAGCGTGGGAGAGCCCAGCCTCGCCGGCCTTCACATACCCTTTGCAGAGACTCAGCACCAGACCCAAGTGTAGAGGACGTGCCACAGGCTCTTTGTCCTGCTTGTCCTGGAAGAAGTGGAAGGGAATTAGCTGGGCTTGTGTCCCAATGGAGAATATTCTGTGGAAGTACGGTATTTTCCTCAAAGAACTTCTTCACAAGTAACAGTATTCACAAGCAAGCTTGTCCCAACTGGGTAAGAAAGAGAGGCTCAAAAATTGTTTCTGAGAGGGACCAGTTACTCTGGCAGGAGGTACCTGCACTCATGGCTAAGAATGCCAAGAAGAGCAGGAAGTGAGTTCACACACCACTTTAAACAGCAGATCTTGTATGGCTTTGTGCAGTATTGTACCCTAGGAAGTGGGATCACGTCGGCCCTTGCAGTATTAATAGCTGGCAACAATCAGGGAAGTATTGTTGCATGTCATTTTGAGCCAATGGAATGAAAATAGAAAATGGAAATAGTAGTGATGGTTGTTGTAAAAGTTAGTATCTTAGATGATGAAAGAGAAGCAAATATCAAATGAGGAAATGGGCTAAAGCCTTTAAAATCAACTCTATTTTTTTAATCAGCTGCCCAGCTTTCAGCTATAAAATTAGGTTTGAGTAACATGTTTAGTATGCTAAGTTTTTTTGTTGTTGTTTGTGTTAAGCATCCAATATGGTATAGTTGGGTTTTATGATCTTTGAGGATATTATCAGTGAAGAGCTTGGGTTCCAGCTTGTGGGGTGGGGAGGTTAATGTTAGGCAAGCAGAAAGAGGTGGTTATCTGGCTTTGTGTTTTCTGGTACAGGTTTCCAGCCATTGCTGTAATTCTAACTTGGCCCCACGGATTGGCTTCTCTTACTAGATTGTTCTCCAGAACGCGATTCAGAACTTTAAGCAAAATTCACAAATTCAGAGTAAAAAGAAAATACCATCCTTTCGAAGTTTCCAGCCAGAATAATCACAGTTCTTCAGAATGCAGATAAAAAGGGACATGTTATTCTAAATTTGTAGTATCATCATTATAAAATAACTCCATTTTTTTTAAAAAAGGAAAGTAGACTAGTTGCTGTATATACATAATAATTGTGTGTGTGTGTGTGTGTGTGTCTGGGCCTGTGTACAAACCTGTGCTTGCACTCGTCGCTCAGTGGGGCTGCTCGTGAGGAAAGCGAGAGTGAAGGCGGTGGGAAGCGGGCCGTGCTGAGCACCCTCCCAGCAAGCGCGGCGCACCTTCCAATTTCTCTGATCTCAGTGACGTTAGAAAAAAAACACCAAACGCCATATTTTACTCCAATTCAGTTAACTTAATTTTAGTACTGCCATTTGTATAAACTTAAAGCAAAACTGTGCTTTTTAAAAACAGTATTTTATAATTTTCCAGAACGAACCTCAATTTTAAAAATGGGTAATATTTAATTACACCGTGGGGTTTTCCTCTCATCTGACCTGTGGGCTTTTGCTATGACTTTTCAAAACTGATGGAAGAATTATTCCACCAGAGATACAAAAACCCAATCCTTAAGAGTTAGAGTCAAGTTGAGTGGCTTTCTTCTTTTGCTTCAGTCGGATTGTGGCCACCCATGCAGTGACCAAGGTAAATAAATTGCATATTTGCACTAGCTGTTTAATGAGTGAATCTCTGTGTTCAAGTTTCCGGTAATATCTGGCATTGGTGTGTAAATTATATTGTTGTGAGTCTGCATATCATCCACTCTGATGTTCGTTTAGGTTTTTAGTTGTTTAATCCACTTATTTCCTGGTAGCAGTTAGTGTTTCTGAACGTTTGTCATTTTAGAAATAATCTCTTTTCATCCTCAGACTTCCCAAGTGGATACATTTCACAGGTTTTTCAGCTTTCCTCTTCCGTCTCTGTCGGTCAGACCTGCTCCTGCAGGCATTAGCCACACTGTGGTCTTGAAATAAGTGAATTTCACTAAAGCTGCTTTCGAGAATAAAGCCTTTGGTATTTTTCTTATGTAAGAAGCACATTTGCAAGAATCACAGAGAAAATGACAAACTAATGGGCTAGAATTGAATCACTGCTACGGCTTTAATAACGCAGTGACATAAAAACCATCAAAGTAAAACCAACAATTCATTTCTTGCCCCCAGGAAATATTAGGAGGAGATTAATGCTGATGAGTCACGACTGCTTACGCAGCATCTCTTCAAGGGAAAATGCCCGGCTGACACAGTAATGAAGGCACAAATAGATCCTAATGAAGTCACCAAAGAAAATGGTGCCCACCATTTGCTCTGACCTATGTAAAATAGCTCTTTCTTCAAGATAGTTTCTCTCCTTTTTTTTTTTTTTGCAGAATACTTCTGCACTAAATATATACCAGGCAAGCATATGTTATGTTTGGATCTGTTGTCTTTAAACACACGATACCTCTTCATCTTCTGGGAAATTGCATTTCCCTGGAGATTACAAAATGGGTTTCAGCCAAGCCATGGTGGAACTAGGTGGGATGACTGCTGATTCAAAGAGCTGGTGAGGTCCTAGAGATTTTCAGGTCCAACCCTCACATTTCATGAAAGAGAAATTCCACCCAGACAGAGCAGAGACTTGCCCAGGCTCACACTGGACGTCAGATACCTGAACAATGACTAGAAACATCCATTTGGACAACATTCTCTTTATATAACGTTGTTCACCACTGAACTGTGCTGAGCATGGCAGCCAGTTGCTTCTGCTGAGCCCTCTCACTTCCCAGCATTCCTTCTTCGTAATGTGAGGAAATACGTAGTCTCCATGAATAGAGACTATTTCTCTGCAATCTTCATGATCCTACTTCCTTGTACTACCCTGCCCTCAGAAATGGTATGCTTAAAGAATTCACACATTTCTTTGGGTGCTCATCAGAAGTCTACTTTTCCTAAATAAACATCGCTAAAATTGGCATGAAATGGTAAGTACAGAGTTGAATTTAGGTCAGTCATCAAGTCGAGGGCATTTTTATTTTGTTTTTATTTTTCTTCCCTTTAGCACTGCTTGTTCTTTGTTTCTGCGTGGAAAATTTTTCCCTCTCCCTTTTTTCTGACACCTGTATGCCATCTCCTGGAAGCCATGTTCCACTGCCCTGTTGTAGGCACTTTACTTGAATTGCACATGTTCTGGTCAGGTTGAGAGTAGCTGAACTGTTGACATTAGTCATACAGTACGTAGGAGCTATGAGGCAATAAACATTGAATAAAGTAGGTGTTTAATTTATTCCCATTCCTCTACAAGTATCTTGCTGCTGAGTTCCATTCATGTCTGCTTTCAGTGTACCCACTCACAAAATGCCATATTAAATGACTTAGTAATGTACATAGGTCAGTCCCATGTGTCTGAGGTTTGACCTGTCACTCTCATCAATCAGAGCCCTGGGAATTTATTCTGGGATTCACCTGATACCTACCTTCCTTGGAAATCACTAGCACAGCCTGGGAAAAGAACGAGTAGAATACTCCACTGGCCTTCTGCTGCTTCCCGTGCTCCCACTACCCATTACCCTCGCTAACGCTATGCGCGCATATCAAAGTCAAGGGACGTGAGGAAAGAGATGCTCAAGAGAAATCATCTTAAGACCAAAATAACATTTTTATGTGGAATGATGCAGAAAGACCTGATGTTCATTTTGCATGGATTGTTTAGGTAGTTGTCTGTCCTCTTCCCTCGACCGCCCTTTCAGTGTACAGATACCGCTGCCGTGGTTAGGCTTTGGTGTTTTCTCTGGTCTCAAGCCATGGGAAAAGGAGCCGTGAAGAGGCGTTGCTTTGGTGTCATCCTTTTGTGTGGTCCATGAAGATGCTTGTGTGTTTTTGCTGGTTCGTGTCCTGCAATGTTCAACTGCACATTATGCTGATGAATGCCCACAGTGGCTTTGAGCTTCTGGTTACATAATACTAAGGTTTAAAGTCACCATGTGTGGGATTGGCATCAGTTAATATTTAGCCAGCTGGCTAAGATGGGAAAAGAATAAGGTATTTCTTTCCTTACATAATAATGAAAAGCAATAATTACAAGTATGTAATAATACACAAAGGCCATAATTAGTCTCTTCCAATGTTTAGGATGCACTAGAGAATTGTACAGTCATTTGGAGTGTGTTTGGACCCATTAGTATGTACTGTAGCACCCTTTCAGCAAACAAATACCTGAATTGCTACTATTTAACAATTTTATGAGCCCATACTACTGCATTCCGGGGGTGACAAACGTGTTTGAAAATGGAGGCAGTTCTTTGTAAGTACTGTATCACAGACTGTCCTGTACATTTACCTGTTGCAAACAGGCTGGTTTGTAAAAGATGTATGTTTTGGTGTTTAAAATGTTTATAAAATTGTATATAAATGGTTTCAATTTTCCAGGCTTTTGTAGATACTATATTTGATGCCTATCCGGATGCTTTAATTTGGAGGGTCCAATGTAATTGTAAGTCATCCATGCTGTTGGTCTCCGAACTTTTGAGGTAACTACACACATGAAACAGAAGGTTTTTGGTTTGAAAATGATGTTTGTTAATCATTTCAAAATGTACTGTAACCTTTCTTTGGTTCTACTGTTTTCATGTAACTTTCTCTGTTTTCAAGAAATTGTTTTTTTATTGACATTCTTTTAGGGTGAATGTTTTTTCCCCTTTAGTAAGTACCTGATTGTTGTGCCATTTCAAAGTCAGAATGCAGTCCACCGTTTCTTCACGTGCACGCATGCTCACCCGGACTTGCACACGCACCGCACACCAAACCTTATGCAAAAGGGAGAGCTGGCACTTGAAGTGAAACTTGTCCCTAAGGGAAAAAGAGTTTTCCTGCATACATTGCTGTGGGTAGTATTCAGTCTAGTGTTCTTAAAAAAGAAAAAGAAAAGCAAAATGAACAAAAACCACACACACACAAAGGAAAACAAACCAACCGCCACTGACAACAAAGAAAAACCCCAACAGTGTACACGTTTGTAACTGCCAAAATTTGATGGTTAAAACAAGTTTTCAAGTAAAAAAAATGAAACTAACCACTGTGTTGACTCTTTTTGAATATTTCCTTTCCTTTGGTCCTTAGTTCCGCAAGGCATGGTGGGAAGTCCTTACTCACTTTAACCTTCTTGTGCCCCTCAAAGAGAAGGGACTCTGATCTGCAGGGGAGGAGCTTTGTATTGTTCTGTGTAGATTGTTTTTCCTCAGAGGCGTTTCATTTTGAAAAAGACTGCCATTAATTTCTACTATATGTATGTTGGAATCTTAGGTATCTGCTTGCTCTGCATCACACTGAGGCACCTTTTTCTGAGGAGAAAAAGAGTGCTGAAGACTGGAACAAAAAACAGTGATTGAGTTCCACTTCCACAAAAAGTCTCCCTAGTGCCTCTCATCTCTTCTAGGCAGCAACTCCATGACTTCCCTCCCTTAAAAAAAAAAAGAGAAAAAAATGGTATCAAAAGTTTGAGGCAAAATTGGCATTTGATTTTTTTCCCAAATGTGCAGAAATTTTCCTATATGGAGTGAAAGTCATTAAAATATATGTGGCTCAGTGGACAAGAGGCTGCCTTGCATGTTCAAGACCCTGGGGTCAATCCCCAGTACCAAACACACACACACACACACACACATATTCAAATTCACACTTAGAAGAGAAAGCGAAATAAGGAGAAACTTTCTAGAAAAGAGAGGAGCTCTCTGCCTTGCCTGATGGGGGTGAGTCAGGGCGCATGGCCTTCAGTAGTACAAGCCCAGAGGCAACCGCTTGAGTGGGTCCTGCCACACCGCCAGCAGAATTCCACACTCACTGCAGTTCCAGTACCAAGGAGCCATGTACCCAGAGCAATGGCCACAGCTTGGCACTGATCTTGTTACTTGAAGTCTTTACTGATTTCAAGAACTCACCCCTGGCAGCATTCACTGCATGCAAGCCTCTGGTTACCATATCTGTCCTCTAGTGGGATGCCAGGAAGTGTTTCCCTCACTACAGTGGGGGAGCACCAGTTTGCTGCATGTACCAATTCCTATGGTATAAATACTCAGATTATGGCTAATTTCGAGCCATTAAAGTAAGAGAAACT